CAATAAGACCATTTATTTATTTTATAAGGTGATCGAAATCATCATTGACCGTTGGATCTGAAAGTAATGGGCAGGTACTTGTAGGCACTGCGTAGAGCTTAGCTATGGTTAACGAGGTCTTGGTTTTTGTAAAAGCTGCACTGGTGTGGATTTCAAGGAAATCCATGTGAACTTTCTATGCTTAATACAATGAGAATTTCTTCAACAAATTATCTGTTATGTCGTGTTTCTGTGAACTCTCAAATCATGTCTTGATTGATAAAGCACACTGTAAGGCTGCTATGAGGTCAGGGTAGAATTGTAACGATCTTGTGATGAATGAAGAGAAACAAGAGATTCAGATTGGATGCTGGGTTATGTATATAATGTTTTAATGTGTGTCTCTAATTTGTAAGCTGTGTTCTTCGGATCGTAATAGTACTCTTGCCCTTCAGCATAGCCTAATTTTATCCAAATCAAGAAGAAAAAATTGGGGTGGACTCATACCTGTGTCATTAAAAAGGCGAAGTTACTCTTAAAGCGCTTTCTCATGTCATCCTCTGGTGCTTTTAACACCTGCTCGATACCACCACTATTTATCTAGACACGAGCAATTAATGCCTTTTATCGAAATTAATCAGATTTTCTCCCCCATTTCAGTAGCATCGCCATCAAGTAAGGAGGATTTCATAGTTGAAATCAAGAACAGAAAGCAGCATTCCCAAGTACGTCTGGGTCATACCCCAACAAATTCTTGTGAAAACCCACCATGGTGTTTCCTAGTGAGGATGACCTTGTCACACTTGATTGAAAATGAGCTATCGGCAAAAAAAAAAGAATACGAAGAAGATTTTTTTTTTTTTGTGTTGCTGAACTTTTTTTTTAATTGAGCGACCTTCTGCTTCTAAATACACCAGAAGAAACTCAACGATGAATTCCAGAAGGTTGGTTTACAAGCCCTAATTACCATTTTTTTCTCTTCTACAAAAACTTGATCTTCGTATTCTATGAATTTTGTATTGGGGTTTTTTAGGTTTCATTGGTTACTATTCATTGGTTTCAAGATGTTTCTGAAGTTTCAATTGTGCATTGAAATTTGGGTTATGCAATGTGGCCCTTTTCCTTTGATCCTCTTATTCCATGGTTTATCAGACTGTACTGGTTCTAATTGTTAATTATTTATTTTCTCTATTCATTCATTTTTTTATTTTCTAGTTTTGATGTGTTTCTCTTCCTTTGTTCATTGGTTGTGTATTCTATGTTTTTCATTTTTTAATTATTTTTTCATTGCCCCTGAATTAGTCTTTGGTGAAGTATTCGATTGGTGGGTCTTTATTTTATTGGTCCTCATGGAGGATTTCTCCTTAGATGTTTTAGATGCAAAGAGGAGAGCGGGAGGAGCTCTGTTTTTGCTTATTATCAGTTTGTTTTGAGTATTGAACCATTTGTGGATGCCTATCATGTGGTGCAAATGTGGGTGGCTTCACATCTAAAACATGCGTAGAGTCCAATTTGGTCCATATTTTATTTGCAGCTGATTTTATTATGTCCCAGTTCAAGAATAATTTATTTTCGGCTTGCTGGGGATCTCTATTGTGTCCTTATTTTCATCTCAAGATATTAATTATAACTAAATTCTTCCATAATAAAAAAAATTGGGTTATCTTGGATTCTTCATTATATGTTTATTTGGAATTCTTCCATCATGGTGCAGTTCAAGAACAATGGAATTTGGTCTAGCTGGGATTGTCAAGTGTAGTGATGCTACTTCATATCCAAATAATGTAGAAGCATCCCAAATTATTTTTATATTAGATTGGCCATGGTAATGTAGAATGAGCCTAGAGATTTGTCAAATGAACTTATTGGAAACAAAGAAAAAGTGTATCATGTGAAACTCACTGAGATATATTCAAATTGGCGGCAATCGATTTCGGATATTTGTCAATTAATCAACCTTATTTTCTAATTTGATTTGGAAAGTGTTAGCAACCAGGTCCAACATATCAACTTCACTTAGATGAACTTGAATTGATGTCCTTTGATCCCAATGATATTGGTTGTGATGCCCGAGGATGATTTTACTGACTTCGAGCTGCATCTTGCACTTTCTTGTTTTTGTTTTCTTAATGCAACACTGTTTTACTGACATTGAGATGGTTCTCTAACTCCTTAAACCTTTTCAATGGAACACGGATATGTCCCTAAACTTTGGGGAAACACTTGTAAACCCTTGGGAACAACTTGATTGTACAATACTAAGAATCATTGAAATTTGTGATTTTGGTATTATTGAAGTAGCAAAAATTTAGCATTTCCAACTTTTTGGTAAACTCTGAATTTGAGATCAGAATTTTTCATTGAGCTGCATCCTTACTAGCCATATTCTTTTGTAGGATAGACTTTCACTCGTGATTACAATGATTCCCAAGCATTTCCCATTACGTGTGTCGTGCTGGGACTAATAGATGCATATTATGCATTGTAAGAAAATATGGTTTCTCTTGTGGTCATAGAATATACCTGGCTAACCAATTTCATATGATTGATCTTAGAACTGTATGATCTTCATGCCAATCCACAAACTAATCGAGTCCATTGTGCTTATTGGGGACATCACTTTTTGGTTTGTGCTATGTTCTATGTTAACTGTCTGTGGACGACTAAATAAAAATAATAATGGGTGCAACATTATTTGGCTTAGTAATTTTTTTGGAGAAAAAAATTTGTTTGGTGGCATTGAAAATTGTTCTTGATTATGCTGTTGTTACATGGCCTGGAGTAGGGACTGTTGCGTGTTGAGGTTGGTGGATAACAATATTCATGTGATTGATCTTCATTGTGAAATGGGCTGCTTAGTTATTGTGATAGATGCGTAGGGTTATGATCATTCGCCATTAGTTATTGTGATAGATGCATTGGGTTATGATGATTCTCCATTAAATATTTGTATTGATTGTTTTGATTTCTTCATGTATGTTAATCTGTATTTATGTTAGAGATTTGAATCTTGGAGGCAGTGATGAAATATGTTGGATTTCTGACGGGCATCGTGTTTGTAGTTTTCTTTTTGACTGGTATCAACATTTATGCTTTTAAATAATTTGCCTACCTTTTCTCTATAGATTTTTATAACAGGTTATTAGTAATATCTGTTTGAATTTTCTGTCTGTTTTTTATATTCCTTTAATTCCTGTATCTTAGTACTTGTTAAGAAAAGACGCTTCTTTGAGATTGTTTGATAGATTCACTTTTCATATTTGTGTTTGTTGATTATTACAGGCTGGCACCTTTCTAGCAAATAGTAAAAATTAGCTCATTTCTTGTGCTGCACATGTACAATTCATTGTGCAAGGTCTGCATCAAAGAAGCAGATTTTTTCTGTGTTCATGGAAACAAAGGATTTTGTAATGCATGTTTTACAACAATAATATTGATCGAAAAAAAAATCAGGCTAATGCGGTATTGCCCTGGCTTAAGATGAGCGTGCTAGCATTTCTTTTTCTAAAGCTGTACAATAGTAATTGTTCTTCTAGTGTAAATAGAATTAAATTCATTTTTTGTTTAAATTTTTATTACTTGAGTGAATGGTTCAATGTGTTTTTCTTTACTTGATTGAAACTTATTACTTATTCTCTCTTGTCCTTTAGTAGTAACATAGTTTATACATGCAAACAATGAGTTTTCAATTATGAATGATGTTAAAAAATTTGGATGTGGGAGTCTAGGCAGGTGCTAGTATGCCTACAAGTCTAGGCAGCCCAAACACGGATTTTATCACATGGGTGAACGGTTCAATGTGTTTTTCTTTACTTGATTGAAACTTATTACTTATTCTCTCTTGTCATTGAGTAGTAACATAGTTTATACATGCCAACAATGAGTTTTCAATTATGAATGATGTTAAAAAATTTGGATGTGGGAGTCTAGGCAGGTGCTAGTATGCCTATAAGTCTAGGCAGCCCAAACATGGATTAAGGGGGTTTAGGCTCTCTAGGGTGTTTTAGG